CTTCCCCCCCCCCCAACTCTCTCTCTCACACACACGAGAATCTATGGGGTGAATTTGTATTTGCAGATACATTGTATTTTGTTCAAAAAGCACACAATTTATAGACATTCAGTCAATATGGCGTTTTATAAATTCCTATTTTAGAAATAAAACCAGTCTGATTCCAAACTAAAACACAAACATATTCTAAACAAGGTCTCACACCTAACATGCATTGTCTGACCTAAAATGTCATCTCTTCTTTACACTGATAAAACCATTACTTCTCTCAGGACCTTGACTTGAAAGGGGATTTACATATACATATTCATCAATTAAAACCTTCTAACTAATTAAAGATTTTACAGAATCTTAGGTTTGTTTAGTACATCCTCATCAATGCTGTGAACCTTTTGATCTTTTACTTATAAAGTCTGTGACTGATACCGCCTCTCTCACCAACACCTGAAGAAGGACTGAAGCTCCGAAAGCTTGTGTTTTCAAATAAATCTGTTGGACTATAACCTGGTGTCGTGTGACTTCTGACCTTGTGCATCCCCATCCAACAACGTAACCTCCACATCACTTCTGGAAGGTTCTTGTTATGCTTTCCTTTATTCCCTTCAAAGCTTAAGGGGCACTACATCTTCATACTGATTCTATTCTTGTTCGATTCATTCATTACAATATACATTCAACTGGGATCCTTTAGGGCCGCACAGTGGCTCAGTGGTTAGCACTGCTGCCTCACAGCACCAGGGACCCAGGTTCAGTTCCACCCTTGAGTGACTGAGTGGAGTTTGCACATTCTCCCCATGTCTGGTGGATTTCCTCTGGGTACTCCAGTTTCCTCCCCTCCCACAATCCAAAGATGTGCAAGCTATGCGCATTGGCCATAGGAAATGCGGGGTTACAGTGATAGGGAAGGGGGCTAGGAGGGATGCTGTTCGGAGAATCGGTGTGGACTCAATGGGCCGAATGGCCTGCTTAAACACCATAGATTCTATTTTTCTGAGGGCCACCTTTTTCCATCAGAGGGTGGTGCGTGTATGGAATGAGCTGCCAGAGAAGGTGATGGAGGCTGGTACAATCACAACATTTAAAAAGTATCTGGATAGGTATATGAATAAGAAGGGTTTACAGGGATATGGGCTAATCGCTGTCATATGGGACCAGATTAGTTTAGGATGTCTGGTTGGTGTGGACAGGTTGCACTGAAGGGTCTGTTTCTGTGCTGTTGACGCTATAACTGCATTTTTAACACTTTCCCCATTCAGTCATTGGCCCTGGGACAACTAAACCAAATGTGGGTTGAAAAACAGGGTGGTGGCTGGTTATGCATGGTACCTGATGGCAACTGTGGGCAATTTTACCATCCATCAGAAATTTAGATGTACATAATGAACAGCCATATTATCATCTGCTGAAAATGGGGAAGTAAAATTTCCCTCAAATTGTTTCAGCGTGTGTAAGAGAGTACTAAATGTCCCCGTAAACAGTGTTGTGTGTTACGAGACCAGGAGGGGGTGCGTGCCTATTGCAAATTTCAACATCTGCATTCCTAAAAGCTATCAACTGCAGAATTCCAATAAAACTAGTACATTTTTCAGCTTTGTACTTTGACTCTCTCTTGCCTAAGGACACAGGTCAAGGGACCACACACACACACACACACACACACACACACACACACACACACACAC